GCTTTTGAGTGGAATCTATGTTCATACGTATCATTGTTACCAGTCCTCATCAGCCGTTTTCTCACTTGTCGAAACCAACGTGTCACTGCTGCTGGGACACCCATTGTAAATTTCGTGAAATTTGCGTTCTAGCGCCTCTTATCAGCCCTTATCAGTCGTTATCACTTTCTGTCCCCACCAAACATGTTCCCGTCCCACCCTCTACATCACTTCTTGGAACCAACGCCTCACTGCTGCTGGGACGCGCGCTATGAATTTCGTGAAATTTGCGTTTCAGCGCCTCTTATCAGCTCTTATCAGTCGTTATCACTTTCTGACCCCATCAAATATGTTCCCGTCTGGCCCCTACATAATACTAAAATTACAGCGTTCCATCGTTGCAGCGAAGCGCGCTATGAATTTGGTGACAAACAGACGCACACACACAGACATGCTTAGGGCCTGTTCATAGTTTGAGAATTCGGCGAAGATGCGAAGAAGCGATTGGTAGCACGTTCGCACAAGAGACGCACGCGCCGCGACGCTTCAGGAATCAATCAATGAACCGTTATTGATGTTTAAAGAGTTTCCGAGGGAAAACTAACGCAGATTGAGAAGATTATCGAAAATAGAATACTTTAACGGCGACATGTCAATAAATTGAAAAGTAATGGACAGTAGAAGAAAAGAGTAATAACAGTGGTAGCAGCGAAACAAAGAAAGATCAGTGATTCATTCATAGACTTGCATCTTATCTGTCGACACGTATCTTAATCCTTCCACGCTGGTCGCCCCTCGCATCTTCGCCTCGCGCGATCGCTGAAATCCAGACGCGCTCTCGCATGTGACGCTATAGGGCGGAGTCGAGTCAATCGATATGCACTCACTTCATTTGATAGAATCGCTTGGTCGCATCATCGCATCTTCGCATCTTCGCCGAATTCTCAAAGTATGAACGGGGCCTTAGTTTTGGGAGTCTTAGAAAAATGATGGTGTTTATTGGTATTGACGAACTGTGAGAAATTACTGCTTTATCATCTGCTTTCGTTAATACCATCAGTCAAATCCATTGAAAGCCTATGTACTCAATACAATAGCCCGGCTAAACTCGGTCTCACTCGTCGCGAGCGGAGCAAAACTAGTTTGTTTATACGTGTGTTTGTCTGTTCACATCGATAGAGTTCGGTACTACCTAAAGAACCACCTGTAAAATCCAGGTCAAGCTAAGAATGGGTAAGGCATGGGCTATGAAGTGCAAAATGCATTCCAACTGGGTCGAGTTCTGTCCGCAGTGGGCGGTGCACTGACCAAGTTGGACGGTGCCAGCGGCAAAATTGTCTAACACGGTCCCAGAACAGCTCAGAGACCGGGTCAGAGATCGGGAAAAATGGGTTAAGCTGTGCATTGAGTATGAGGTTGAATCAGGGGGAGTCGCCCACTGTGGGCGGGGCGTTCTCCGAATAAGCAGGCTTCCTAAGGAAATGCATAGCGCTCGCTTATAAGATGAGAAAAAAGCAGGGAAAATTAGTAGAGATGAGCTGCTAGAGGATGCTCAAGGTATGTATATGCGCGATCGCTATCGATTAAACATACCGGTGTTTTCTTACGTGGTCCGGAATGGGTAACTAATCACTGCATTGGTTGTATATAGTCGTAGAAGCTGAAAGTTCACTGTTCAATGGTCATGCGCTATCAGCCGATTTTGATTGGAAATACTGCTTTTGCCGAGGAAGCTTGGGGGTTGCTAACCATAGCATTGATTGTGTAGAGCCATGGAAGCTGAAATCTACATCTGCTCATGCGTTATCGATCGTATCGATTGAAATTATCGCTTTTTGCATGAAACACAAATCGCGCCATGTGTAGCTTGGATTATATCAGGGACGGTAGTAAAGTCCCCTAAATAGCCAGTCTATAGCTGGCCAATAGGTCACGTTGATCTCGCCTTCGTCGGCACTCAAAAAGCATGGGGAAGGGGCGGAAATTCAAAGTGTATTAGGTGGCACCTAGCCTAGGCGGCGAACCCGGCAGAGAAAGGGGAAAGTGCGTGGAGATTGCAGAGACGCAGAGGGTCATGTAGAGGGCGACTAAAATGTACCCCTGAGTACATTTTAGTCGCCGTCTATCTGCGTCTCTTCAATCCCCATGCACTTCCCCCTTTCTCTGCACGTCATGCATTGGTCGCATTGAGCGTCTCTCCGTCCCTGCCATGCGCAGAGCGCAGGGAAGAAAGGGGTACGTGGAAGGTGTTGAGTGGAGGCAGCAAGAAAGCCACTGGAGCTATCGATAATATTGATAACTTTCTGCCAATAAGGTGATCAGCTGTCCCCCGCAGTGTTCCACTTATTGATCGTGTTATAGATCATCTAGGCCATGATCCCAGTTTCAAACACGTCGATTGGCGCAGTGGGTTCGTTCCTTGTTGACATTGGATCGCTCGCGGGATCAATTCTCCATGATACTGGATGTTTTGCAACCCTCATAGGTTACTACCTTGCTTTCTACAATTCTTTCAAAGTAACACAGCAATGCTTTGTGGTGCAGTGGCAAACGTCGCGCTCATGGGCGCTGCATTACATGGTTCAAGTCCATGGCGACGCGACTTTTGCTAGGAATGTAGTGAAGCTCGCCATTCAGAGCGGGGTCATAGTTCACCACGTTTAACTCCCAGTCTATGGCACTTCACTACCGTCCCAGAGGAACAGAGTCCTCTCAGAAAAAACCCTCAACGTCCCTAAGAAAAAGCCTTTCTTAGCCGACTGGATCTTCGATTTGG